TCCTTAAACCCTTGATTTTAATTTCCAAAATTCCCTTACTTTGATATATTTCAAAAAATTCCTTAACTTGATTTTATTTTCAAAAATTCCTTAACTTGATTTTATTTCAAAAAATTCGCTTAACTTGATTTATTTCAAAAAAAATTCCTTAACCTCATTTGATTTTATTTCAAAGAAATTCCTTAACTGATTGATTTCAAAAAATTCCTTTAACTTGATTTTATTTCAAAAAATTCCTTTAACTTGATTTTATTTCAAAAAAATTCCTTAACTTGGAAGTTTATTTCAAAAATTCCTAACTTGATTTTATTTCAAAAATTCCTTAACTTGATTTTATTTCAAAAATCCTTAACTTATTTTAATTTCAAAATTCCTTAACTTGATTTATTCAAAAAATTCCTAACTTGATTTTATTCAAACCAATTCCTTAACTTGATTTTATTCAAAAATTCCTTACGATTTATTTCCCAAAAATCCTTAACCTTGATTTATTCAAAATTCCTTAATTTCATTTTATTTTCAAAAATTCCTTAACCTTATTTATTTCAAAAAATTCCTTGAACTTGATTTTATTTCAAAAATTCCTTAACTTGATTTTATTCAAAATTCCTTAACTTGATTTTATTCAAAATTTCCTTAACTTGAATTTATTTCAAAATTTCCTTAACTGATCTTATTTCAAAAATTCCTTACTTGATTTTTATTTCAAAAAATTCCTTAACTTGATTTTATTCAAAAATTCCCCTTTTAACTTGGGAATTATTTCATGTATAAGTCATCATGATACCACTTGAGTTTGTGAAGAACATTCATTAGTATTATTCGATGATAACATATTAGAGAATCCAAATATTGAAAGAGAAATATTATACTCTTGGTAGACATAAAGGTATTTATTGTTGGTATTTAGCACAAACATATTCAGAAATTCCTAAGCAATTGATTAGAGTTTTTTAAATACAATTATACAAAAATGATCATAATCTTAATCATTTATATCATGAATATGTGTGGTGATATGAAAGTGGTGATGTGAAATTTAATTAATTTAAAAATTTGTCAGTAATTATGGGATGAATAAATTTGTTTTATTACAATTGATATGGCACGAATAACAAATAATGATAAATGTTGAAATAAAATACAATCGTTTTTCAACGGACAGATGCAATATAAAATCCTGTTTCATTCAACATAAACATAATGAACATATTTAAAAAAAAAGAACAGACAGGATTTTATATTGCTTCTATGTCAGTGACCATTTGTAATACTTCTGTTACCATTTTTCTATTACCACGTTTCTAGATTCTTACTTTCCCGAATAAGTACGTATATAGGGAGAATTATACGTAGTATAGGGAAAGTTATGTATTGCTGCGAAGAATCGATTTCGAGATTTCAACGAAAATACAAGTTATGAGGCCCCTGATTCCGAAAAATTTATTTTTCAAAACGACCGTCTGTCTGCCTATATGTCTGCTAGTCTGTGTGCCTGCCTCTCTGTTTGTGCGTCTCTCCGGCCTGTCGGTCAGTCCGTCCGTTCAGGAACACCACACACATTTTTTCTTTAACTATATGGTAGGAATAGTGTTAATTGTACTGTATAAGATGACATAAACTTCATTGCTTCATTCTTTTGCTTTTTAGAAATTACAAAAATGTAATTTTTTGACTTTTTTCAGGTCGTAAATATTTACATTGTATTTAGTAGTACAAGTGCTTTAAATAATGTGATAAAGTTTCTCGAAGACTCGACCGTTTGTGTGAAAACGAGGTGAATATTCCGCATTTTCAGAAATGCTCACACGCCACTTTCTCAAGTAGCTCCAAACTTTTTCTTTGTACTTTTCAAACACATAGTGCTAAATCCACCCTTTAATATGACATAGAGTGCATTATGTATTTTTGTTTTTCAAAATTACACAAATATAATTTTTTTGAAACATCTCTCACGCGGATAAAAGGCACATTTTCAAAAAAATTGTAAACATTATTGTATTTGTGAGTTAAAGTTTCTTAAAATGACTTCAAATGAAGGTTTTTCGAAAACACAAATTTTCGGCGAAAAGGGTTTACCATTCAAATTTCGAATTTACATCAGCGTTAAGCGCAATTTTCTTAAAAACAGCTGCAAATTTTACAGAGAAAATTACAAATTAGGACGAGGATTTTTAGATTTTTAATATTAATAAAACATTTCCGTTCTTTTATTAGGAATCCGAAAAACTAAGAAAATGTTTTTTTTTAAAAAATGCACTTTTAGCGGCCATAGATGGCAGGTGGCAAGAGTCGGTGGCTCGTTCGTATAGCTAGCCGAGACCAAAGGAAATAGAAAACTAATTCGGCAAAGTCCGTGCCATTCTTTAGAACCACTAGTTTACGCATAATGTACTCACTTTTAACTTTTATTTTGCAGATATTAATTTCGATTTGGATGATCGTTTTGAGCAGAGTTTGGACCTTCGAAGATCCAGTGAGATCGACGAAATAATCGTTGTGAGTATAGCTGATTTAGTCATGAGGGCCCTTATTTTGACCATCATTTCAAACAATAGAGTGGTTGTGTCCGGTGAAAACCATGTAGAAATGATTCGCAGTCATTTCATCAATGTTTGCTAAGTTCTATTGGGCCTGTATTCCGTATAACGTATCTTTCTACCAACCGAAAAAGGTTTGTAAGAAACCAATACGTATTCAAGAAAAGTAAATTTCAAAGTGTCTATTTATATAAATATTATGTACACGAATTATTCTTTTGTTGGTATTTCGTAAGTTTAATTGAAAGAGCGATGAGTCCGAAGAAGGCGGTCTGCGTAATGTTACGTGGTTGTGGTGTCGCTGTGTATCCTCAGGTGCACGGCCTCAACTCTATCAAATTATTAAATTCAACATTCTTACATGCTTTAGTCACTGTATCGGTTTTCCCGCTGCTTTATTGAATGATAATGTCAGAACGAACTAAATCCCCCGTGACTGTGCCTAACTCCATATGCGCTCACTGAACTGACGTTTTCGAGGCATTATCAACTGTCCCACAGCTTCTTAAGCTGACAAGACTCAGAGCGTTGCATAACTTCTAAATGTCAAATTAACTTCGTACAGTTTCTGCCATTGAACATCCGAATTAACTGTAGATACTGGTTAGGTTTATTATTATTATTATTATTATTATTATTATTATTATTATTATTATTATTATTATAGCCCATTACAGACCGTAGAGGGCAAGGGCCTCCAGCTGCCGAGTGGGTTACAAAGCGGTTTTGGGGGATGCTCAACTGATTTATAATGTCTAAGTAATCGTCTTTTGCCCTGACCTAAGTGTATAGATTTCCTATTACATTTTGCTCTTTAAAGGGACTTTTTTGCATACACTTTTTTAAAAGATTACATTTAAAGTTTTTTTAAATGAAACGTTGTTAGTTACAATTAGAAACTGTAATTTAGTGGTATAAATATATAGCGCTTCCAAAGCACAACTATGATACCGTCTCCTATTTTCTCTTCAGCGCGGCGACATTAAAAGTCTGGAAGTGAGGTGTGACGTCGTCCACCGCTACGCCCGGGCAGAAGTGCTGGGTGCCGTGGAGAATCCGGCCGACGAGTCGAAGGTGCTGATGTTCGGTGTGCTGCTTCCTGAAGAAGCTTTCATTTCAGGCTTTGAAATGTGAGTATTAAGAAGCGGATAAGTCAACACACACACACTCACACATACGCGCGCACACTATGCGTGACAACTCGCTTCAGATATTTAGCGAATGCCGCTTGAAAGGAGGCTGATACACCAACTCAGTGTCTTATGACAAAGTAAATCAACTAGTTCAACGGGGCGTTCCCGACGCCGTAAACGGTTTGAAAAGTATCACATGTTGAAAATTCCTGAATGTCACGCATAACTTCTAAATACAAATTAACTTCTTACAGTTTCTGCCATTGAACATACAAATGAACCGTAGATGCTGATTAGGTTTTTTAAAATTATTATTATTATTATTATTATTATTATTATTATTATTATTATTATTATTATTATTATAGCCCTTACAAACCCGTAGAAGACAAGGGCCTCAGGTTGCCGGGTGGGTTACAAAGTGGTAGAATTCCAGAGCACCCAATTGGGGAACTTTCTTATATGCACGCTATTTACACACAAAATTAGAAACTGTAACGCTGTTCACGTTGTCACTGTCAAATTTAGTACTGTTCACTTAAGTTTGTATTACTGTCATCTGCATCTTGGTGAACGTTAGTTTGGCAGTTATTATTCTGTTGGAGATCGCTATAATATTGTTGAGGGATGACTGATGAGATGGCTTGGATGAGCTAGTTGCCCCTTGCACTTTCTTTGGTATCTTTGATATTAACAACTCTGGGGACCACCGCGCTTAATGCGACGCGAACGCGTTCACTGTAAATGTTAGTATCTACAGAGGGAGTCACTATTACTTTGGGAGAATTCATTAGACATGTTCTAATTGAAGAGAAAAATGTGTAATTAAAACTAAGTAAAAGATACACATCATCACAATAATCTGATTACATCTATGTTGAAAGTATTTGAATGATTGCAATAGCCGTAGCCATTTACAGTTGAAGACTGTTTTTGCATTTAACACTTAACATGAGTTCGAATATGCACTAGCCAATGCACTAGCGCCGAAATGAAAAACATGTGTGCATATTGTACAATGAATACAAACAGAATCATGGTGATGCAGTGTAGACTTGAAGACCGAACACGTGCGCATGTCACATATAGTCATCCACCTGCAGAGAGGATGCAGGCGACGATAGGCAAACACACTGTAGAATCTAGAAGTCTAGGATTGCTGTGAATTATAACTGACTACTGTAGAAAGTTACTTTGAAGCGGATATTGTTGCACAATAGATGTGCGTTGTTGCTGCGCGTGAAGCAAACACGTAGATCACTTGATCTAATAACTGTTCATGCCGGCGGCACATTATCACGCATTAACTGAGATCACGTATTAGCTGACAATGTGATCACGTATTAGCTGACAATGGTAAAGACGTGTGTCTCACGGCGGCACTAACATGTCACTGAGTATGATGTTACACGTTCAGTTCATGTACAAGTAATTGGTTATGCTGAAAGCGAATGACTTACATGCTTGAAATAACGTCAGCTCAGCTTGAAGTAACGCACAGTAAACTGCAGTTCAGAGAGTTTATAATTTCCACATAACAGATGGAGAATGATGTGATGTTGCTCGCAGTGACGCCACGAGGGCAGCTACAGAAAAAGGCCTGCGTGGTGGCCAGCCTGGCACACAGCGATGGGCGCGGTGCGGACGGACGTTGTCGGGTGGGGAGCGAGAGGAAGCTGCGGCCCCGCGCTCGTGCCTCGGAAAAGCTGCGGCCTGTTGGGCTACGACTGGACGGAATCGAATAAGCCGAGCGACGGACCGGGAGGTGGCGACACAAAGTGGCCGGCGAATGTGAGAATGTATCGAAAATCGTACAATTGTGGTCTAAACTAGGTTGCTGAGTATCCCGCGAGTTCTACCGTATGTTACATTTCCCTGTTTTCTTCTAGAGAAACTGCAGCTAACACCGTTCTCATTACGTGGTTCTCTAGAAACTCTAAATAGTTTTCCATCTTGCATTTCGATTGTTGCCCGACTTTGGCGTCGTTGATAATCACAGAACATAAACTTCTAGTGATAACAATGCTTCTTTTAACTGCAAGTCTATCTTCGGTTCTTAAAGTTCGTACATTGAATGTGCCTACCATAATTCTTTGAAAAAACATCCGATTGGCTTCTGATTGCCATCCTCAAATATTAATTGTGCTTCTATTTCCGTGGTTCTGGATCTATTAATAATTTTCCGCCCGTTTTCGCTTGGGAATTTTTGCAGCTTACCGTATTTTTTCATTTTTTTTGTTTATATTGAGTTTCTTTCCACTTCCAAAATTTCTGAGATGTTTTTATTAACCAGGAATCTTCTTTTTCTATTCGATCCATCCAGTTTTCCACTGATAATTGATCTTGAGATATCCGACCTTCACAATGTTAATTTTTTCGCGCTCTTCTTTTGCTTTTGCTCTGTTTGCATTTGTGTTGTCATATCATTGTCTATGGGGGTAATTAGAGCCTTTTCACTTGGCAATATTCTTTGATACCTCTATTTTTTCATCAAATGAGGCCATTTTCACTTCAATAATTCTTCTACCCCCTCTGTTTTTGCCCTAGGGAAATGCTTCTGGAAAATCTCCGCTAAACCACTCTGTTGCAGGACACTCTTAGTAATATTTGCAGTTTTGCTCTATCTTCGAGATATACAGTATTTGCTTGCTTTTTATTGTGAAACTGTTTTTTTCTAGACTAATGTTTCTTTCAACCCCTTTGTTCAGGCTGCTACGCTTAATTCTTAATGTTTTAAAGTGGACTGTATTGATAAGGTAAAGTTGGAGCACAGCAGTCCCGAAACCCTTTGATAGCTCAGGGAGGATTTATGTAGGCGTTCTGTATTGACAGAAAGGACGTTCTTACATTTAATAATCACTGGACTTAAGCTCTTGATTACATGGCACAGTTAAAACATCACAGTACATGATAGCTGAAGCACAGTATTTCCTCGTGCGATTGGTCTAGTGCAAATAACTTACATTACACGGGCAGCACAGGTAGAATTGTATGTAGAATTGTATCTAAAAATGTTCTGAGTGCTTCTTGAATTGAATTAATGGCTTATTTTACGTGACTTCTTGCAATTCAGGACGCACATCATTGAATATGATAGGTACTGCATTCCACCCTGCTCTTCCTGATGCAGTCACATCTTGGCATGAAATGTTTCCATGCATAACATACCTTTCTGTTTGTATCAGTGTTTGCAATAGGGAAACAGCCAATGTTTGGGTCTCCAAAATTGCATCAACAATTCATACATCTATATTATGTAATAATGTTTGTATTACAATAAATTACTAATAATAAGAAACAAAATAAGTATTAGATTTCAGGGTTGTTGGTATTAAAATTACTATAAATAATAAATTGTTTGTTAACAAATGTTAAAACTAGTTAGGTTTATGTTTAGCAAAATTAGATGTTTTTATAAAATAAGGCCACGAGGTTATATGTAAACAATACAAAAATATACATTATTCGAAATAATGTTAAACCATTCGTAAAATCATGCCATATATTTCATTTCACTTAACCGTCCAGAATCATTTGGAAAGAAAATAAACCTTGTCTTTTCCGAATTTGTTCTTCTGGTATTGTGGCAATTGGGGTACCCAACACGCCCATAAATTCGGCTTTCTTAGCAAATTGGCCACACAACCAAAAAATAACTTACTCTTATTGGCCAAACGTGCAGAGAATGGAATATCACAACACGAAACGTTGTTCACTGTTGCCAGCAACGAACAAATCCCATGAAGATATCACACTTTGGTTTTAAAATTAGTTTTCGCAAAAGCCCCTGTACACGCTACTTGCCAGGGTGGCAGATAATGGCGACTTACCTCCCCTCTCACCGTCTCCCCCACCCCTCTCTTGTCCCTCCCACCACTACTTTCAAATAAAGACGTTTTACCACCTATTAAGTAACACCCCCCTGACGGGACCATAGTCAGACAGCTAGTGCTCGTGCGCTCAGGGGGAGGGGATGGCAGTGGCCAATCACAATTAGCCTTTTGAGTTAGGCGATAGAACGTTCTGGAGGGTTCGGGCCATTGCGAAGTGCTAACGGGCGGAGGAGCGAGGCTCGGCACGTGTGTTTCTGTGAAACTTGTGGGCCGCATTCGATGTCGTGTTCTTATGAACGCAACGGTCGGGCGTTGTGCCAGTCACAGATCAACTGTTCTGCCTTGCGTCGTATGAAGTAAAATTATATTTATTTTGCTTTGCTGTGGGCCCGAGCACCCTTCTTTTATTAATTTTAGTCTTTCTTCAGCACTCTTTGCACCTGTTCATATTTTTAATATATTTTAACAACTTGTTGGTCCATAACGTTTTTATTTGAAGTGAAATGTATTCCAGTTGCTTGAGTTTTGTATTTAACTCACAAATTTCTTTCATCTGGTTTTCACGAAAATCTGATATCTATTCTTTAATTTCTTTTATCTTATTAGATATTCTGTGCAATATATCGCCCGTGCTTTCGAAATTGCTCTTCTTTGTTGGCGGCATTTTGAATTCGCGTTTTTAAAATTCTCGTTAGTTTTCCGGCCTCAATATTATGAAAAATCTACAGGTTTTAAATAAGAGGTACCTTAATTCTACGTTAGGACACTTCGAAAAAATTGTGACAACCACTACAAGACGTCTCTTTGCCCTCAGATCGACTTCGGACTAGATAAAGGGTCCGTGGTGTGTGACGTAACACAACCTCACTTTTGTCTGAAGTGTATGATAAGTTCTCGTTTTGACAAGATTACGCTATCGTGAGATATATCTTCAAGTGCACAGTACGGGGGACACCCACTTGACTTAATCCTGATTACTTTCTGCGACAGTTCCATCTGGTTAATACAATACATCTACTCACTTCTTTTCGAACAGCTTCATACATTATACATGTCTCTGCTAGCCATCCGTAACCTTACACCTTTCAATAATGTTATACTCATGTTCGAAAGCTCCCTACACTCAATGGCCTTACGTGATCCGGGATATGAACTCACCAAA